TTTTTTTTTCTAATGTCGTTGATGGATATATATTGTTCGTTAATAGTATCGAAAAAGTCTTACGGCTGTATTTTTAAAAAAACGGAGTAACACATTAAATGTATATAAATTTGCACAATATTTTTAGTGCTTCGCAACTGTATTGTAGTTCCTAATTTAAATGATAGAATACAGTAAACTATTTTACAATATGATTTCACAATAAGTCGGTGTTTCTTATAAATTTATGAGTGACTCTGTAAAACTTATGAATCAATATCACAAATTACTTTTTTACTTTATACTAAAACTGAATCATGCACTATTTTTCTCTGGTTCACTGTTGTAAATGCATACTAATTAATCTGTATCTTTTTTTGAAAATACTACATTTATTGGATAAAGCCAATGTGGAATACGTTTGAAATACGAAAAATTTGAAGTAATTGTTTTTCAATACTTTCCCGAATTTACTAATACTATTTCAGATATATATCCTGTTTTTATCATTTAAATAATCCAATGACGTTAGCATTACTTCACGTATTCATTATACTTTCTATCAGAGATTATGAAGCAAGTCGAAGTACTAATAAATACGGTAGTACAAACATAATCGGCTATGAGCAAATTTGCAACTGTGTTTCAGCTACATCAGACGTCTGCATGCAATACTCGTGTACATTATCAGCACAACGAGCAAGCTGCTTTTCCGGTTCTAGTATAATCACACTTGCTGATGGTACCACTAAACCTCTATCTCACATTCAAATCGGTGATAAAGTACTTGTCAATCAACATAATATCTATGAACCCATTTTATCATTCATTCATGCAAAATCAGATGGTCTCTTTAGTTTCTTAGCAATTCAAATACAATCAACCAAATCAAATTTATCTTCAACAATATTTGTTTCTCCAAATCATTTAGTTTTTGACTTTGATTCAGGTAAAGCATTGTTTGCTGGGAAATTTCATGTTGGCGATCGAGTTCAGTTTATTGATAATAATGAAATTGTACCTGGTGAAATTGTAAATATTGAATCAAGAAAACAAGAAGGATACTATGCACCATTAACATCATCAGGTACAATTGTTGTTAATGGAGTTGTTGCTTCAAATTATGCAACAGTAAGTAATCATGAATTAGCTCATCAAGTGATGGGAATATATCGATGGTGGATTGGTTTATTTGGAGG